GGGGGGGGGGGGCTAAGGAACAATACCTGCGGTTCATCCGGGGTGTACACGAGTAAAATGTGGCGAAATAGGAAGGGGGAGGCACTGGTGGCACAAAGTCGTCGGGGTCTGGGATGCGTCCATGTTCTTCCACCTCCTCGGCAGAAATCTGGGATTCATCCTAATTAAACAGCACCTCTGTTAGTCAACAGCCTGCACTACAGAGGCTCGGGGAGAAAAGCAATGAAGAGCATGGAAAAGTCCCTGGGCTGCTTCTGCAGAATCACAGCCATGGTGCCACCTTGCATGGACTTACGCTGCAGGATCTCCTGGCTGCAAAGATCTGGACGTAGCGAAGGGCAGCGGCCACTAGGCAGACGGTGGTGGTCAGGGCATTCAAGGCACACAGGGCGAAAAGGACTTTCTAGAACAAGGAAACAGAGACAACCCTGAGTACTTTAAAGCAGATGACCAGGATGCAATATAAAATCTTTTAAAATAACTGATAATACTGTCCCAGTAAGAAAATTCTCATGACAAAATGCATGTAAAGAAATTACAAGGTAAGGGCCCTTCAAAATACTGGTGAGGCCCTGGCCAGGTAGTGGTTGGAGTGTTGTCCCACACACCAAAAAGATTGTGGGTTCAATTCCCAGTCAAAGCACACACCTACGTTGCGGTTTTTATCCCCAGTGTGTGTTGGGGGGTATATGGGGGGAAAATGATCAACGTTCCCTCTCTCTTCCTCTCTCTATAAAATCAATAAATATATCCTCAGGTGAGGATTAAAATAAATGCTGGTGATTATTATTCATGCAACAGTGTGTACTTCTTAATTTTAAAAACTTATCTTAGAAGCTTCCTGACCCAGAAAGACCTGATACTACAATATTTCTTTTTGCAAGATCAGAATACCGTCTGGAAACGTTCCTTTCAGGAAAGCAGTGAGTTTCTCTTCTGAAGCTGGAGTTTCCAGTGACATCAATTCCCAGCCTCCCCCGCCCACTGCCTTATGCCAGGACAGCTTGCTGCTTAATTTGTGGCCACTGATTCTATTTCAGGAGCTATTGGCAGAGATGCGCAGGGCACACAACTAGGACAAGGGAGGGGGCAGGCCGCCCAAGTGTAAACAGGGCTTCTCTCCTCAGAATAGCAGCAAAGGCAATTCCAAAAGTTTCTGCTGCCACAGTCCTGGCTCCTTAGTGGGGCTTTCCCCAAGCTAAGTCCTGGCTCAGAAAGTCTGGGGGTGACTCAGCTACCAAAACTCCAGAAGCCAAAAAAGAAGGCCATTTTTACATCCTGCATAATCCAGAGAGCTGGCAGCTTCTCTCTCTACTCAGAGATTCCTCCCCCCACCAAAAAAAATAAACCCCAAAGATCTAACTAAAGAAAACCATCAGTGGTAGACTATCCAAAAGCTAATACCTCATGGTTCACCAACTGATCTTGTCACTCACTGGGCTGATGGACCTAAATCAGGACACAGTTTTTATCTACTTCCCTAATACAGGTTTTGTATTTCTCTTCAATTGGGATCATTTGTTTTTAATCTTTTGCTTATCACAGTTGTTGCCTGTTAAACAAGAGATAAACTGCTTGAATTTTTCCTGTCTTTTCTGGCCAACCTCTCTCCTAAGTCTGGGTCCCAGAACAGTAGAGCTCAATAGCCCACAAGACTCACACTAACCTAGGAGAATGAGAACAATGACAAATGGGCATGCAATTTAAAGGTTTTGCTAAAAGCTACATCATATGTATGTAGCTATATCACATGGGTGTATGTACATACATATGTATATAAGTGTATACATACATATGTATAATTAGGCTCCTTTACATTTTTTACTATTTTTATAATTCTTGAACTCAAAGAAAGCTATCCATACATAATTTAAGAGACACACAATAGTATGTGATTCTTGCTGTGTTCAATCCTATCTCTGAGGCACTGTTGAGGGGTTGTTCACATCTGCTTTCAGCAGCGCAACTGTTTAAGGGAGGTATCAGGACAGGAGTATTTCAAGTAACTTTGCTTTCTCTGGGGATCTAAAGTATAGTTATTGCTGGGGGCAGGGGTTGGAATCCATTCGAGGTACCTTAAGTAGAAGGTGGACCGCACTACAAGGCTGAACCGGGAAGAGTTTCAAGACATTTTCTTTGTCCATGCATTTGGCTGGTTGAAATTCTTCACAACAGAAGCAAATCTTGCCTTCACCTAAGTCCACCTTAGGGGCGAAAGGTAAACAATAATTTAATTATTAAGAAAAAATACATAGACTATACCATGGAGCACCAATCCTACAGAATGAGATATGGTAGGGTTCAGTTTGAGGCAGTGTCTGTATCAGTCAGGATAAGCTCTGGTATGCTGTGGTAACAACCAGCCCCCACTTTCCAGTGGCTTAATCAAGCAAGGTTATTTCTTGAACATGCTACATGTCCATTTAGGTCAGCAGGGGACTTAGAGTCATCACAGTCACTTAGAGACTCAGGTTGATGGAGTATCTACCATCTCAGGACTGATCATCCCTGTGCCAGAAAAATGGAGAACACAGATCAATTGCACATTGGCTTTATTAAAGTAAGGTTGCCAGATAAAATACAAGACACCCAGTTAAATTTGAATTTAGATAAATAGCACACCATTTTTTAGTATACGTAAGTCCCAAATATTGCATGAGACATGTTTATAGTAAAAACTATTAGCTGTTTATTTGAAATTCAAATTAATTCATATCCTGTGCTTTTATTTGCTAATCTGGTAACATTAGCTTAAATCTTCCTCTTGGAGATGACACTCAACACTTTACCTAATATGTCCCTACCAAATTCCAAGAGGGCAAGGAAGGTCAGTCTACCATGTACCTGTAAGAAGCAGACGGTACATTTTGGTGAACAGTAACCCTAAACCATGTACGCTTAAAATGATCTCTCAGCTCACATCTTCAATGTTTTCTTTATTTGAGTGATAACTTCAATGATCGGTAATCTCATATATATTTTGGTGAGATGCTTTGTAAACGTTTGGTCACTTTTCCAAGTTTCCCTTGAGTCAGGTTGTGAAAGTATGTACCCTGATTATGGCTCATAAAACCTATACTTTGGGGGCAAAGGTTTGTTTCATTTGCTCTACAGCTTGAGTTGTTGAAGTTGACTATTCTATTTTGGCTAAAAAGAAGGGCCACACCTCTTCCACACCTGTTAAATTCATCAGACAGCTTTGACTTCACTAGTTGCAGAATTCTTCAGGAATCTTTAAGAATGCCTGGACATCGACAATGTTTTAGTTACTAGACTAAATTTCTTATTGAATTAAGATTCTTATCCTCTAGTCATCGTACTGGACTACAAAACATTTTTTGGTTTGGTTATAGCCTCCCTCCCTCCCTCCCTCCCTCCCTCCTTCCTTCCTTCCTTCTCACCCTCCCTTCCTCCCCTTCCATGTGGTGAAATTTATATACACACAAAATTTGCAAACACAAATCTTAAGCACACCATTTAAGGAATTTTGAGCAACTCATATACCTGTGTAACTCAAACCTTATCAACATAGAGAACATTACCACAACGATACGCCCTTTCCCCATCAATCCCTGCCCACATCCTCCTAGAGACAACCATGGTTTTGATTTTTTTCTACATAACTAGTTTTGCCTCTTGCAGAACTCCATGGATTCCTTGTCCTTAAACTACATTGAAAGGGATGCATTATTATGTCAGACACTGATGCGCAGATTTTGATGGACATTCTGCCTCTGATACAAAGACTTACAACCGGAGTTACCTTGATGGGCTCCATAATTATCAATTCACTCCCATTTGGTTTCTGTCCTTTCCTGGCTTGTCCACAGAGATTATCTCAGCAATGTCCTCACACCTAAATCCACACCCCGCCACACACACACACAAAGGCATTAGGCTGTCTGTATTTGAATTTTTCTTCCACTGTCTCACATTTTTTGAAGATACATCCTGCTGCTAAGATCTATCATAGATTCTTGCCTTCTAAAGGAAAACTACTGTGGCCATTCAGACAGAATTTCTCTAGGCTGGGTCTAGGCAGGTGGGAACTTTTCTTTCCTCCAGGGATCACTGGCTTTCTCTTGACCCCTCTTCCACAATTAGTAACAGTCCTTATACTGAGCTAAATTCTGCAGGTAAATATTACTCCCAATGGTCTTCTTCCTTTGAAGTCTCCAGCTGGGAACTTCCCATTTCAGTATTGACAGCACTATTTAGTAGCAACAAGCAGCTAATAGAGATATGTTCTGTGCATGTAACCACTCTGCTCAGCACACAAGGCCCTCTTCTTCCCAAACAGGACCCGAGCTCACTTTTTCCAACATGGTGCAATATAATTTCTATTTCTTTTATTTCTGTAAGCTTCAAGATCTTACCTAAGGATTCACCTCCCTCAGGTAAGACGAGATGTCATCTTACAAAATAATCCCTTCCCACAAGTCCATTCTTGATATAAGGCCTTCAGTTAAGAGAGAGAACAGGCCTGTGTGGGGTATACACACAATGCCAGACATTCAAATACACAGAAACCTCTGGGGTGAGCCAGTGTGGAAGGCAAAATATTCCAGATGCAGGAAGGTTAATCCCTTTAAACAAGACAATTTGAAAGTTTAATAATTATGCAAATAATAATGAATATCAATGATTGTGCCCAGCTGATAAGAGAAGTTCTAAGGCTCTGTGCATTTAGTGTTCTTCCTATTCCTGACCCTTCACCTCCTTTCTTAATCCCATCTCTGCCCAAGGTTTCTAAAAACATACTCTAACTTCTCATCAATCTCTTTAACCCATCTGCAAGCAAACCCGTTCAAGCCTTCCTAATCCTAAGTGAAAAACATTCATCCTTCAGCCTGACACTGGCTGTCAGATCCACTCCTTCCTCCCATCACCACCCAGTGCTGTGGTTCTCAACCCTAGCTGCACATTAGAATCTTCTGGGAAGCCTCCCAAAAAGTGGCAATGCCATCTTTAGCAATTAGGGAACTTCGAACTAAAGTAAGGAGGAGATCTCACTTTAGCCCCATTAGACTGGCAAAAAATTAAAGATGGAAATACTTGTTGCTGTTGGAGGGTCACTAGTAGAAATGTGGGCTGAAGCCCTTTATTAAAGGAACTGCTATACATTTTAAATTAAAAATACTTATTCCCCAAGTTGTCTGGAAAACAACTTAGGAGTTTTTAAGTTAGATACACATTTACTACATGACCCAGAAGTTCTACCTGTATGTACTTACTCAAGAGAAATAAAAACAGGTCCCCACAAAAAAAACACTATACGGAAATATTTACAATAGCTTTGTTCATAATACTCCCAAACTGGAAACTACCCAAATGCCCATCAACAGGAGAATGATAAAATAAATTGCAGTTTTTTTATACAATGAAACACTGCTCTGGAAAAAATGGATAAATCTCAAAAACTTCATACTGAGCAAAATAAGACAGACACCAAAAGGTACATACTGTAGGACTCCATTTATATGAAGTTCAAGAAGGCAAAACTAATCTATGGTGAAAGAAACTGGAACAGTGGTTGCCTATGAGAGTAGAGACTAACTGAACGGAGACTCCAAAGGACTTTCTGGAGTACTAAAAATGTTTTAAATCTTGCTTGGGTATACACATGAGTGTATTTGTCAAGATGTATATATACATTGATCAAAACTCAATGAACTGCAAACATAAGAGCTGTGCATTTCACTGTTTGTAGATTTTACCTCAATTAAAAAAAAAAAAATCATCAAATGGTTGAATGTGTAACAAAATACTAGACAAGCAGAAGAACATCACTGTCCTGGGAACCTGCCCCCTTAGGTAAAAGCCCCAAAGGGACACGCAGCACTGTTTCTAGTGGCCAAAACCCAAACTACCACAGACAAAGAGGAAAGAGTGAACTAGCCTACTCTATCTTTATCTACTGTATCTTTATCTAAGTGATAGAAAAACAATATGCAGGAAAGTAGATAGAATATACCCCATTTTTGAAAAATAAATTTTGAATAACCCCATACACATTTATGTAAGATTCTAGGAGCATGAGAACATGAATGGGAGCTTCCCAGCTTGTGACCATGGATTTGGGGTGGCGTGTGTGGAGAGGAAAGGAGGAAAGAAGTGCATCTCCTTACCCCAAAGACTTCATTTGTTAAACAGCCTCTCTAATGAAAAACAATTATGACGTTGATGGAAAAGCATGTGTTTTATACATTAAAAGATGCTAAAATAAAGTCACCAAGTAGTTAACTGTGCTATCCAAGAATAGTAAGATTACAAATGATTTTTTAATTCTGTCCTATACTTTATGGCTTATCCAAATTTTTACAATTATATAATCAGAAACAACCACAGAGTTGGTTTTGTGGTGAGAAAATGTTTTAAATTAAAAATACACTTAAAAGCTTAAAAAAGTACTCATGCCCAGACCCCCATTCCAGGGCAACTGAGAATCTCTGGATGTAGGACCCAAGCTTGGCTATTTTCTAAAAAGTTCCCCCAGGTTACTTTAATGGGCCAGGGTAGAGAACCATAGACTTTCTTAGAAAAGTCACCTATCTATATCCTAAACCCCTGCAATCTGGCTTCTGTTTTCTCCAGAGCTGCCAGTGATGTTAAGCACTAACTCACTTCTCACCACTGCCCTCCCAATCTGGTATTCCAGGTAGCCCTCCCCCTCTTCCCATGGGTACAGGCCTCCCTCTGCATCCCCTAGAACTGGGTCTCACTGATAGCTGAACAGTCTAGCCTGCTCTGCAGCTGGGTACTTATTCATCCCCTCCAAGAACACTGATCAAGCATTTGCCATACATATCCTACTCTTCTTGCTACTGATAAAATTCTAGGTCAGAGCAATGTCTGACTTTTCGTTCTCCTCTCTGCAGCCTCTATCACGGTATCTTGCATGCAACAGACGCTACAATTTTCCCCAATTGTCTTTCCATATGTTATGACTTTTCGCTTCCAGCTTGTATCTATTCTCTTTGCCCCTTCTAATTTGCTGTGCAATGAGTAATTGGAAAACCAAGCTTTGTTCAAAAAAATTTTTTCTGGGAACTCCCTGTATATAAAGGAATGTTTAGGATGCTGCTGAAAACTCCCAAGATAATAGAGAAATGCCTGCCTGGAAAAAGAGAAGACAAAAGGAAAGGATAAGTGGTGTACAGCTGGGACATTCTGGGAGATTATCTTGTCGGGGGACAAGGGACCATTTCCTGAAAGAGAATCATTGAATGAGTCTTTAAAAGACTGATGACACTTGGATGAACAGAGAAGTGAGGGGTAGGGAATGTGGGGGAGAGAGACAGCACAGTTAGAAATAAGCAAGCAGGGCAGGAGCCTGGGTAAGAACCTGCAGGCTTTGGCTGCATTACAGGGAGTGTGAGCTGCCGCAGTGAGCAGGTAGGATAGGGTGAATCGCAGAGGCCCTTCACACCAGAAAAGGTCGTGAGACCGTGACCCCATAACTTAAGGTTATTGAGTAATTAAATGACAAAAATCAAAAGGGCTGTTAAGAAGGAGCAGCAGGCTTTCAGTGAGTCCCTGAGGAGCTTTCCTGTTTGGGAAGGTCATGAGTTTCCCTGCAAGGGCCTTATCACAGCCTTTGGAGAATGTGGCCCTTCTTTGCTTGCATCCGGCTTGTTTCAAAAGGGTGAGAGGGTGAGACTGCCTTGAACCAAGTTCCAAATAGATGAGATTTAATACAACTTCTAAAAATTCCTTTTATCTGCTTTGCTTTGTGTCAGAGGGATATATTTGTTACTACGAAGTCCTTTTAAAAAGCTCAGAGATGATGGGCAATTCCACTTCTGGGCATATATCCCACAGAACTGAAGGCAGGCTCTCGTGTAGGTATTTGTAAACCTTTTTTCACAGCAGTATTATTCACAACAGCCAAAAGGAGAAAGCAATCCAATCACCCACTGATGAATGAATGGATAAACAAAATGTGTCATATACATGCAGGGGACTATTATTTAGCCTAAAAAGAAAGAAAATTGTACACATAGTACAATATGGTTAATACTTTAAGGACATTATGCTAAGTGAAATAAGCCAGTCCAAAGAAAAAACGTAAATAATGTATGATTCCACTTATATGAGGTACCTACAGTAGTTAAATTCATAGAAAGTAGAATGGTGGTTTCCAGGGGCTGGGGGGAGAATGGGGAGTTATTGTTGAATGGATATAGTGCTTCAGTTTTGCAAGATGAAAAGAGTTCCGGTGATTGGCTGCACAACAATGGAAATGTACTTAACACTATTGAATGGTTAGGATGGTAAATTTTATGTTATATGTATTTTACCACAATTAAAATTTAGGAAAAAATTCAGAGATGGTACAGTTTCACAACCTCTTATACACAATTCTAAAATCCAAAATGTTTCTATTACAGCCACTGTCCCAGAGTCCACTGGAGTGCAAAAGAATAAATAGTATATATGTCACATTTATCTTCTAAAAATTAGAAAAACTCTGAAATCTGAAACACGCCTGGCCTCCAAAGGTTGTGGGTAAAGGTCTGCTGACCTGTATTCTGATTATATCCATTTTTCCTCGTTAGATGAGAGCAGACAGATATTGATAGTGGATAACTAATCCACCAATTAACCAATGATGGATTATATTACTGTAGTCTGGGGTTCTGCTGGCTGGCCCCTGCCTTGAACAAAATAACTGACAACTTGAGTAAAATAATCAGCAGGCAGATTCCTTTTGCCAACTTCAGGTTTCACTTTAGGACACTGCCTGGTGCTAGATGTTGCCAGCTACACGCTGGCACCCAAGGTGAACCAGACAGGCAGGCCAGGGTCAGCCCCGTGCACAGCGATGTTTCAGGGCCGCTTACCAAATCACACCTGGGCACGCTGGACACGAACTGGGCCCCTTGGCAGCCCAGGATAAACCCAGCTAAGTTTAAGAGGACACACACCACAGAGAGCAGCACGAAGAGGTTTACCTGAAATGGCAAGAAAATAGGTAGTTAGAAAAAGACGACAGCTAAACTCAGAGAGAGTTTTGTCTGAATAAACAAACTCACATTCTCTTCCTAGAGGAAACATTTTTTAAAAAGTCAGAACCATGTTTGTAGTTTCCAGAAATTTCCCCCACTTTCGAGAATTTCTGAAATGTGCTCAGGAATGTCATTGCCTTTCAAGTCTTCTCAATAATTTCACGTCCCTGTTTTTTTTCCTACTTGCAGATAAGGGAGTTCTGTTCCTATCTTTTATCTGCACATTACATTAAGCAATGGCTATTTACTCCTTGAGCCATTGTTATTTTCCCTGAGGTTTGCAGAATCAGTAGTAAGTAGATAAATGGAAAGTTCTAGAATATAAATGGAATCCAGGGAAATCAAGGAGCTCAGAGCCATTACTAGCCAGAAACTGTAGTATACAAGTGAAAATAAAGATGAGCCTTCAAACAGTTCTGCATGGGACAGGCTGAGCCTCTCCTGATAAGACTGGAATTTCTCAGTTGCCCCTCAAACCCTGCACCTACTCAGCCACCAGACAGAGAGGCGCCAGTAACTGCTAGGTACTGCTTTATCTACTGCACTATCAGATGCCTTGAAAAGAAAACATAGTTATAACCTTTTTGTCCACCAGCACACCACTACTCTTCATAACTAAAGGTCAGCAGCATCAGACAAAGAACGAGTGAGAGTCCATTACCCACCACTAGACCACAATTTCTGGATCATTAAAATCTTAAACCGAGCTCATCACACCATTAAAAAAATCAACAAGCAAGCCCCAGACTGGAAGAAAATATTTCACACATACGCTGAGCAAAGGACCTTTTCCAAAATATACAAATAACTCCTCAACTCAGTAATAAAAAGGCAAGCAACCCAAATTTAAAATTGGGCAAAAGACTGGAACATATATTTGACAAAAGCAGCTACAGGAATGACCAATAAACACATGAAAAGATGTCAACATCATTAATAATCATGAATGCAATTAAATCTATAATGAGACACCACTTTACACCAACAAGAATGGTTAAAATTTAAAAGACTGGCAATAGCAAGTGCTGGTGAGAATGAGGAGCACACGGACACTCGTGCTCCTATCGCTTGTCTGGGTATGAAATGGTACCACCACTTTAGAACACTCTTTTTCAGTTTCTTAATAATTAAATATAAATCTCCCATGCAGAAAAATCCCAAATAACTTATGGAGATAATCTAATCTCAACTCCCTACACCATAAATGTGGGCTGCACAAGGTGAGTTCCTTACAAAGAATGTGGTATGAAAGGATGGAGCAGGAATAATTTCCCAGTGGAGAAACCTGACAAACACTACATCAACCAGGAGACCAAGGTTAACATCACTATATGTCCTGTTGATGGTATGCACCCTTTCTATGATATGGTGAAAAGGGCATTTACCTCCGTGGTCTTCCTCCCCAACATTCCTAATAACCTCAGTCTGTTCATGAGAAAAACAGCAAACAATCTCAACTGAGGTACATTTACAAGAACGCCTCAAAACAGTCAAAAAAATCACAAACAAGGAAAGTCTAAGAAACTGTAACAGCCAAGAGGAGCCTAAGCAGACATGACAACTAAATGTAACGTGGTGGCCTAGACTGCATCCTGGACAGAGAAAGGACATTAGTATAAACTTAGGAAACCTGAAGAAAAAATTTTAGTTGTTAATAATGTATCAGTATTGGTTCATTAAGTGCAACAAATGTACCATACTAATGTAAGATGTCAATAATAGGGGAAACTGGGTATGAGGTGTATAGGACCTCTCTGTACTATCTTTGCAATATTTCTGTAAATCTACAACTATTCTACAATAAATTTTGATTTAAAAAATTCTATATACCTACCATATGACCTGCAATTCCACTCCTAGGAATAAGCCCAGAGAAATAAGTGCAACTGCCAACAAAAGGACTTACAGAAGCTACTGACAGCAGCTTTATTCATATTAGACCAAAAAATGAAAACCCACGTATCCAACAATAGAAGAATAAATAAACGAACTGTGGTATTTTCACACAGTGGAATACTTCCAGCAATAAAAGGGAACAAAGTACTGATGCACAGCAACATGAAGTTCAAAGGCATTATGTTGAGTAAAGCAAGCCGAAAACGAAATGATTCCTCTTCCATGACATTCAAGAACAGACAAAATAATCATGGGGACAGAAATAAGAAGGGTGGCTGCCTGTTTCTTTAAGAAGTGAGGGGATTGGCTGAGGTAAGAGAATTTTCTGGAGTGATAAAAATGTTCTGTATCTTTTTGGTTATTGGCTACGTGGGTGTATCCAACTGACAAAACTTAGCTAACTGAACACTTATGATCAGGAATTTACATAAATGACATTCACTATATATATAATTTCTAAAGTCCCAAGAAAGAAAATCCTGAGTCTAGCTGCCAGAGCAGGAGTGTGAGATCATACAGCGAATGGTGCCACTTCTAAAATGTCAGAATGACAAACAAGATGAAAGAATGCCCCGGGAATTGACTGCCTGGGAGGATTGGCTTCTCTCCTGCACAGGAGGGGCTGCCAATGGGAAGTCAGAGTCAAATCACGAGAATGCTGCCCTGCAAATCCCACAATGAGGACCTGGGCCAAGGCACATGGGCTGTGCAAAAATCATCATGTGTTGTTCCCCAAATGTATTCCTGCATATGGCTTTTTTATTACTATTATTACTATCTGGACAAACTGATTGGCCAAATGGTCACTAAAATAACTCTTGTGCATATATGAGACATGGGGGTTATTAGGATCCCAAACATATCTATTTCAGAGGTTGGATCAAGTTCAAGGGTAAAAACTACTGGCGTTAGAAGGGACCCACTTAGGATTTACAGGGACCTTCAAGATGGATCCCTTTGGCTTTAACCTGGGTATAATGGAATGACTTCCAAGACCCAAATTTCCAACCACATTAGCAGATAGGGTCCTCCTGCAAAAAAAAAATAAAAACAGAAGACAGTGAAACATCAGCTACTAATGAAGAACATGACAGTCACAGCGCCAACTCAGGATACCTGGAAAGGGGAAGAATTTCTTATTTTCTTGTACTGTCATTGTTCTTGCCTTTAAAAAAAAAATCATTGCAGTGATTTGAGTTTCTCTTTGTGGAAAGCACCTGAATTTGAAATCAGGAGACCTGGTTCAAATTCAGGCTTTCCCACTTATTTGCCATATTTTAGGCAACCTCTGTGAGACTCACTTTTCCCACCTGTTAAACAAGTCTCTTCCAACCTACCTCACAAAATTATTGAGCATCACACAAAATTATGTATATGAAAGTCCTCTGTAAGGTGAAAAATGCCCTGCAAGCAGTTTCATCATTGTTAATAACAGGCATTTCCTCTTTTGAGGAGTAGCTTTGTTGTGATTACAAAGTGGACCTCACAAAATGAATTTCACAAAGACTGACACTAGCATTTTGTTCTTACGTTTGTGACACACCTGAATTTATGGCAGCTGGAAAAGGTGCTCTGTTATAATAACCCGCAGGTATACTGTTTCCAAAACTTCTCCAGACAGACTTCTCTCTGCAGCCTGCGGTAGGAGCTCACTCCACGCTGCCCACTGACACCAGCATGCAGGGTGTCTCCTGTTTGCCCCCCCGCCCAATCTTCTCTCCACTCTTCACTCCCCTGCTCTCTTCCCAGAGAGGCTGACCTATGAAGACTGTGTTGATGGGGCCCCTTTGGCCTCTGGTTTCTAGTTAAGTTCAGCCAGTGGGGAGCCCTGACAGAAGCTCTGTGGGAGGAGGAGAGTGAGGCGAGTGTAGTTATTTCCCCGGTTCCCTGTCCGCAGCCTCAGGCTGGCTGTGTCCCTCAGTGGAAGGCCACAGGGTCCTCTGAATGGCTCCCCTGCATGACTGCATTGCCAGGCTCCATCCACTGCTTCCTCTTCTCACAAAGGCCCAGAGACAGTAACAGGCTCACTGCTCCCTACGCCCTGCATTCGCCTCTTTGTGAGAAGGCCCTTTGTTAACCGCTTGTCAAGTTATAATTTTATTGTGTCATCTGTGCCCTGCTGGAACCCTGGCTCATATAACTTCTCTATAAAACTTGTCTTTATATTTAACCCAAGTTTTTTCCTGCTCTTTGAACTTAGTTCTCTAGTTCTCACTTAAACTTCACCATCACTTGCCCAGTGAAGTGAACACCATGGGTTACAGTTCCTGAATTCTGCTGAAGCCAGTTCATTTTTGATTTATCATCAAAAAACAGAAAAGCCCAGAGGTGATGGAGAAATGTCCTTCTGTAACTTGTATTTTAGACATAAAAGAAAGTGGGACCAAGAAAGTGGAGGGCTTGCCCCAATGCACCCTATGGCTTTTAAGGGTTAGATGTAAAATCCATTCATTTAAGGCAGAGATGCAAAATCTGAAGAGCTGGCTGGACCTCTCACAAGGACTGGCAACATGAATTAAGTCTTTCATGCTTTTAGTTTTATTGTTACTAATTTGAACCATTAGTATTTTATGACACTTATATATCAGGTAGCTTGATGCAAAAAGTATTCTCTTTTTCAGTTCAGTATTTGGAATTCACCTCAACTCTGATCTTTTGCAATTGTGACTTCAGTTCATTCCAGATCTCAATTAAATGACCCAATAAAGGAATATTTGGGGAACCTGAGGCTATCAAGAAGAAACATCATCTTCAGTTTACCTGTTCCTACCAAACTAAAAGTCCTTCATAATCCCCATCACATAGTAGCATTAAATAATTAAGCCTGTAACAGCTTAATATTGTTCAATGTCTTTTTTGATACAAGATCTCATTCTCTAAATAGGCTGACCTTTCCCTACTGCCTAAGACTTTTATTTTGCTTCTTACTGCCCTACTGCCCCAAGCTCAAGAGGCAACTGAAACTCAACTATGCATGTTTAAATAAATAAACTATTCCAGTAACCGTGTGAAGACAGTTTAAAATTGAATAGGTTTAAAATGGTGAGTTG